TGCATTGAACTATGTCAGAATGTTAAGAAGGTGTGGAGGTTAATAGCGTCTTTATGAAGACATTGCTGCTCATTAGAAATTTCCAGGCTTAATGGACCTCTTGGTGTTGCTTCTATCACAGGAAGCCTGACCTAGACGTCCCAATTCTCCCCCTTCATGATAACAGTTCATCTTGTTATTTTAGTAGAGTTTCAGCTCCAAATGCTTGCTTGCTTGTACTAGTGAAATGAAAGCAAAAGATAACCCAATAATACTGCATTCTTTCTGATTTTGCTGTTGTTTTTTCTAATTCCATGCTCATTAATTTAGGTTGCCTCTATGTTCATCTGAATGATACGATAATGTTTTTTACCCATTTGCGTGACAATGATCTTTGAAGTAATTTATACTATCTTTTTTATTACTTTACTTTTTAAATTGCAATAGCAAACTAAAGATTTGCTGACTCGTTTGCCTTATTTGCATGAGGATATCTGTGGTCTTTTTTGTAAAGCCGTTGTGCTTTAGTGAAGTGTTCTACATAGTAGCATTTATTCAGAAACGTCATGTTATCTGTTGTAAATTTTTTTCTTCTCTTATCTTTGTATTATTACAATATCACCTCTCTATACTAACTGCATGCATTTGTTATTGCAGGTTAATATGACACAAATTTCATCATTGTTAGGCCAGCAAGAACTAGAAGGAAAGCGTGTTCCACGTATGGCTTCTGGGAAAACATTGCCGTGCTTTCCTCCATGGGATATTTCATCTCGAGCTGGAGGTTTTATTAGTGATCGGTTTTTAACTGGTTTGCGCCCTCAAGAGTATTACTTCCATTGCATGGCAGGTCGTGAAGGGTACGCTTTTCATTTTTCATCTTTTCTTCATCTTGATTTCAAGTTCATATTGGATTATTCAAATCTTCACGCTAGATGAACTTGCTGGTTTGGAATATATAACAATTCTCACCGTGGCTTTATGATTCTTCTTTATGATGTCTAGATTGGTGGATACAGCTGTCAAAACGTCCCGCAGTGGATATCTCCAGCGATGCTTGGTGAAGAACCTTGAATGTTTAACAGTTAGTTATGATCATACAGTACGTGATGCAGACGGGTCCATCGTTCAATTTACATATGGTGAAGATGGAGTTGACGTCCAAAAGAGTAGTTTCCTTGATGAATTTGAAATGCTTATGATGGTGATGATAGCAAATCTTGGCTCTCTTCTCTAGATACCTTAGTTATAAGAAATATAATGCTTAGTTTACTTATAATTGCAGAATCAAAAAGTTGTTCTTGGAAAGATGAGTGGTCAACTTGAATACGCTCATTTATCAAAGTCAAATGGTTACTTGAAAGAATTATCCCATGAACTCAAGGAAAAAGCTGTGCACTTTTTTAGTCGAATATCTAAAAATCCAACTGGCTATTTTAAGCAGGCTAAGAGGAAGGACCTGATGAAGTTAGTGAAACTGAAGTACCTATCAAGCCTTGTTGAACCTGGTGAAGCAGTTGGTGTGCTTGCTGCTCAATCAGTCGGGGAGCCTTCAACACAGATGACGTAAGTTTTAATTATTCTCCGGTTTTTATCATCCTGGATTTTTTAAAAGTTTTTTTACATGATGCTTTCCTTTTACTAAAAGCTGGTCCATTTCCTTCTTTCAGGCTCAACACTTTTCATCTTGCTGGACGTGGAGAATTAAATGTTACACTTGGTATACCTCGTTTGACTGAAATACTGATGCATGCAAAGGTGGACATCAAAACTCCTGTCATGACCTGTCCTTTGCTTGACTTTCGATCCAGGTAAATTATGAGGTTGAAGGCATCATGCGAGCTTTATGTTATGTTTCTAATAAATAACATATCATTCAAGATGGAAATCACATTGTTTTAGCTTCTTTATCTTTATTGTGTAGTCTTTGTGCTTGTGATTTCCATTTCTTTTTAGCCCACGCATGCATACAACCTTTTTTTTTTTTACAGGGAGGATGCTGAATTCATTGCTGCGAAACTAGGGAGAATCAGCTTAGCAGATGTTATAGAGAGTATAAAGGTCTCCACCGTGCCATTCTTTATTATTGGAAAACAGGTGTACTCCCTATACAAGTTAATAATAAAACTTTACTCTCCCGAGCTTTATCCTCCACATTCGGGTATTACTTTGTCAGATTGCATGGAGACCTTAACAAAATTTTTTATTAAAGAGATAGAGGAAGATATAACAAAGCACTTGGTCTTGTCATCTAAGATTAAGAACATCAGGACTAGCACATTCAAGAAGGATGTTGAATTGGATGATGTAGACTTAGATGAACCCGTAAGTCAGGTAACAGCGGTGAATCAAAATGATGTTGACAAAAATGTTGACAGTGTTCATGATGCTGATGATGATGCTAGCAATGATGGTGATGTCGATGATGATGATATTGTGGATGCAGAGGACTTGGGTGCAGATGCTGAGAAGATTAAGAGGCAGACCAATGATGAAATTGAATATGATGATAATGTTGAAAATGAAATTTCTGCTTTAAATGAAGAATATGATGGCACACAATTTGGATCTGCAATTGAATCTGATATCGATGGCGATAAAGAAGATTATGCATTAGGAGCTCAAGAAGTAACGCAAGTCACTTCTACATTCGAATCAACACCTGCCGGAAAGAGAGTAATGAGATCGGAAGTCAAAGGGAAGGCTGTTATAAGAAATTGTGGCATTTTGACTGACAGAGTACTTCTTGCAGAATCCAAAGGATTAGAATTTGAAGTCCATTTCAAGTTTAGTCAAGATGAACCTCATGTTTTACTAGGGGAGGTAATTTCTAAAGACTATTTTGTTTTACTACTTTTGAACTGCTTCTTTTCTTAAGGGATTGCCTTTTTGGCTTTTAGCTTCTATCTCATCTTCTAGCAATTTTTATTTAAACTCATGATAATTTAAATTACTTGGAAACCTGGTCCAGAAATAAACTTGTTTCTTCATTTTACGATTGAGTATGCTTGCAAGTCACTTTGTGAGTTTGTGAATACTAACTGTTTAGGAGATATTTTATCGTTGCATCCAATAAATAGATGGAGAGGTCATTATTTTTCGGGTTTAAATATAGTGATTAGTAAACACGTGCTCCTCTTTTTTTTTTCCATTCTCTCTTAACAGTAGTTTGTCTTGCAGATTGCTCAGAAGACAGCGAAGCGCATATATGTGAAGGCATGCAAGAACATTGAACTGTGTTCGGTGGTGGAACCCAAGCGAACTGGCGACCCCCTCAAAGTACTCTTCGAATTGTATGAATACATTGATATCCATAAGATCGTCACCAATAATATTCATGCAATGCTGAAGACATATGGTGTGGAAGCCGCGAGAGCGACCATCTTAAATGAGGTGAAGGGTGTCTTCGATGCATATGGCATTGAGGTAAATGTACGGCACTTGATGTTGATTGCAGATTTGATGACGTACAATGGCGACTATCGTCCCTTGAATCGATTGGGAATGCGTAAGTTCAGCACTTCTCCTTTTTGTGCAATGTCATTTGAGACCGCCACAAACATCATCACAGAATCAGCTCTCCATGGTTTTGTAGACACCATGGATTCACCTTCTGCTTGCGTCTCCCTCGGTAAAATAGTGAAGCTTGGGACAGGCAGCTTTGATTTGCTGCAAAACATACAGTTATAAGTTTAATGGTTAGATTCGATTTATGCATTGGAGAAATGAATGTTTTGATTACCACTACCATGCAGGAGATGGTGCAGCACTTAACGTACATGTAAATAAAGTTTTGGCATGGCTTGTATTGTATTTATTGGTACAAAATTTTTCCTTATATTTTTCTTTACAATTTTGACACTTAAATCTCTTAGAGAAGTGCTTCACTTGATGACGGACGTGGATATATAAATGTAGCAAAGAAGGCCTCTTGCAACAAATGCATTGTATGACATATTTAGGTCTGCATAGATTGTTGCATATGCTTAATTTTTATTCTACCGATTCAAAAGTTTTTGCTTTAAATTTTGATCGATTAATTAATAGGATTAAAATGCTAGGGTTTAGGGTTTTATTAGTTAATAGGATTAAAATGTGAGGGTTTTGTTAAATAAGTACATCTAAACTTAGATGATTATAGTTAATTTGATATAAGGTAATTATTAATTGATATTTATTAATTAAATTGCTGGAATATTTATAAATATTAATTAATTATATTATAATTTAATAAGTACATCTATACTTGGATGAATATATATTTTATATTAATTAATTATATATGATTAATTATAAATTTCATTAAATAATCTTAAATATAACTTTATATATTAATTAACTATTAAATAAGTACATCTAAACTTACATGATTATAGTTAATTTGATATAAGGTAATTATTAATTGATGTTTATTAATTAATTTGTTTAGGGTTTAGGGAATTACTAATTAATTAATTATTATTATAGAAATTAAGATTTATAAAAATTTAATTAAATAATTTTAAATATAATTTTATATATTAATTAACTATTAAATAAGTACACCTAAGCTTAGATGATTATAATTAATTTGATATATTATTCTGGAATTACCTCGCCCGCTCCCGTTTCGCCCAAAATTAGCATTTGTCTTCAAACCCCCGCTTCTGTCCAGGTTTCGTCATCGTGCATTTGCGAAACAGTTGCCGAGCTAGCTGGGAAGACAACAGTTGCCAAAGGAAGGACACGTTTTCCAGTTACTGAAGCAAGCAAGGACCACGTAAACCCTAATAGTTAACCTGCTAAAATCACCGCTCAAGATGTCTGACGCTCGCTTGCAACCTGATGAGGTATTGATGTTGGTTAAACTTCTATTGATAGTTGTGTTTCACAATCTACTTAACTGCCTGATATTTCAAGTCTAGTCTCAGAGATTTTTCTCATTGAAAAAATTTGTCCGATATTTTTTTCCAAGCTTGTTTTCTTCGATACTACTTATATTGTTAATGAATTCTCTACAAAAGCTTAACATAAAAAATTTTTTGTGCAGGCTGCATCTGAAACTGTGGAGTAGATGAGTTTCAGCTTTTACTCTGCAGAAGAGGTTAGGAGGATAAGCTTCAAGGCAATTACCAAGTCAGAACTCCTTGATACCAAGGAATCACCTGTTCTGGATGGCTTGTATGACCCGGCATTGGGTCCGGTCAAGGACCTCGATACGTTAGTTCTTCCTAAAATTAGCATCTTCATAGGCATCACGTGCTTTCTTTTTTTCTAGTTCTTTTGAATTTTCAACTTTTATTGGGAATAAAGTCACATTGTTCTATAACCATCTGCAATGTTTTTTCTTTGATATTTTTGCAATTCAATTACAAACACACACACACACCACATATACAAGTCTTTCAACTCAATACCTAATAGTTGAAAACCTAAGCTCCCAACTAATAGAGTAACGTGTGACCTGTATCTCTAACATTTTGTGTCAAAATTAAAGATGCATTGATTTGGACTTGTTAACTTTTGATTAATTTAAGCAAAGTATCTAGAATGGCTAATGCTAGTAGTTGTTTTCAATCCTTTTCCTATACTGGTAAAATTGCATGGAAGAAGTCATTTTCTTTGAAGAAAACCCTCACATTTTACCTAATTTTACATTCATGATACATAATCTTCCCATGTTATTTCTTTTTTTCCCTATCAAAGATTTTTGCATTAGGAACTAACCGAATTTACTAAAAGTAGTGTAACCCATATTTCTTTTATTGAAATTATTGGAGAGTGCAAGGTTAGGAATTTTGTTGTGCTATTTTATGTGTTTCATGTAAATCTATCTTTTAATCATCATGGACTGGGTGAGGAGTAGCTCATATCAGCAAACTTATAGTCAAACTAATCTATTTGATGAGCTGGTCTAAATGATACCAAAATTGATAAATTTAGAGTTAAATCAAGCTCATATCAAGTCATTAAAACACTTTTGAAAACTTTATAAGCATATTTGGTTATTCAAATGAATGCTTAATTGGTTGGGCTCATGGTCGAATTGGGCGTGTTGACAAGATGAATCTAACGAGCCCAAGATCGCTCCTCCGACATCGTTAAGTCCCTCAAATGTCCATTAAATACCGTTTGATCGATGAAGCATCTCTGGACCGTCTGATCAGATTGTTTCATATTATTTCATTAATTGTAATCAAGACTTTATAAACAATGTCACATCTCTCTCATGAGGAGCGGGGAGAGATCTTGAAGCCTGAATAAGAGCTTGAAGCTTAGAGAAATAGAAGTCCAACATCACCTCGCCGTTGACCACCACCGACCACCAGTCGTCGACCGATATTGACAATCACTCGTAGGTTGTCGCCGATCATCATCGATCGACGACCACTCCTTACAAGTTCATTTGTGCACAGACGTTATAACTCAAGAGACTGTGTAACTCTTTCCTGCCTATGGGATAAGTGATTGTAACTGTAAGCTCAATTTTTAGTGGATCTCTTCAACTGCATCAGACTCCGTGGTTTTTCCCTTTATGAATTTTCCAGTAAAACTTCTGATCTCCATAGTGGTTGTTTCTTTTATTTGAGTCTGTGTTGAATTCTAGTGCAACACTAAGACAATAATTTATTACTCTATTATCACAAATTTACTAGCACGTATCAATATTAAATCGTATTGAATAATGTTGAGAGCTAAGTGGTTAATTTTTCATAAGAACCACATTCTAGAAAATAGATTGCTATTTCATTTATTAGTAAAATCATTTTTTTTTGAATAATTTATGTGACGATATTTTTAATGTGATATGAAAATTTTGAATGACAACAACGTGAATATATAGAAATCAAATGGTATATACGTAAATCTTCAGTTAGAAAAAACAAACCAACCTCCCAAAATTATTTTGATATTTACAAATTAATCATTCATGATCAAACTATATATAATTTGATAAAAAATGAAAAATATGGGTTGGGGTTTTAGCATAAATTTTGATATTTGAGTGAAAATTTGAAAAATGGATGAAAGAGAGAGGTAAACTTGTAAATTGCGAGTTTTGGGTGGTCAATATGCAATTGCCCCAAAAAGTTACTACGTATGACTGCTGGATTGCACCCCATTGCTCCATCACTTCAATCAAGTTTTCAACCGGCTCAGATTCAAAGTCATCGAAGCCCGGAATTTTCGCTCAAAACCCTAACTCAAAAGGAAATTTCACTCTGTACAATTCATACCTAACATATCCGACCTGCAAACTCCGAAGAATCCCCAATCCCCGTCTACAATTCTCGAGAAGAACATCCCACGCAAAATCCCCCCGCAAATCCAAGCCGAACAACTCAATCCCGCATCAAAACCCTAAATCGGCCGACTACCGGATCATCTCCATGACCAGAAACGCCATTTCCGGCGAGCGCGACCGGCCGGACTCCGACCCTCATGCCCGGCCTCCAACCCAATGTCGGAGAAGGAAGAGGAAGACGACAAGTCCGACAAGCCGTGGCTTCCGCAACAGAAGCAGGAGTGGGAGGAAACCCTAATCCGGCGGTACACAAGGCCGGCGAGACGGAAGGGGATCATAATACAGGAACAGAACATCGCGACTGGACAGCAGATACAGAGGGTGCAGAAACCGGCGGCGCACTCGGTTGCTGTTTGGCCGCAGTGCGGTGGCCGGTGATGGGGACGAGGGGATTCCATTGTTGGAGGAAACTTGAATGGTTTCGAGGGAAGAGGAGTCCGCATAGCTTCAGTTTGGTAGCAGATCGCTTTTGCGAGGAGGCTCCGGGGGCCCGGATTGACAAAATTTTGGAGGATTAAATGCATAATTTATATAAAAAATGTTGAAGGGTCAATTTCATGGAAAAATTTATTGTGTGCAACACAAATTTGTGGGTCCCACCCTCGCAACAAAAAAAATAAAAAATAGTATTGCAGTAGCCCAGATTGGACGCCTGATGCAAATTTGCTTCAATTGTACGCACGCAATAATCGCTCCAATTTCATGAGCGGACACTGTATGCACTGGGTTACGTGTAGATTGTGATATTAGAGAGTGATTGTACTCCAATATCATCTCAATATCATCTCAATACTACTGATTTATACATAATTTACACTCAAATATCAAAATTTATGTAAAACCACTACTCATATTTTTCATTGTTTGATGAAACTATCAATAGTTTCATGGTGACATGCGTAAATTTATCAATTTGATAGTTCGAAAAAATTACTTGAGAGTTTAATTTGTAAATATAAATGTTTTGGGGGGTTTGTATGCAATTATCTCAATGTTGAAATATACACTGAATATTAGATACTTGCAAAATAATCCCCAAATTCTTTAAATTTTAATTGAATGTCCCATGTGAAATTATTGAAATTGAATTTTAAAATAGTTGAGAAATATTATAAAAAATTTATTTTGGAATGAATAATGCTTGGCCCTTAAATACATTTATATGTAATTTTTTTTTTCTTTTGCATAACTCCATCATGAACATTACACTCTGTATCGTTATTTCATTCGAGCAAATAAGCGTATTATAATGCACAAGTATTAAAATAATTTGAGATTTTATGCGCCAATTTATTTGAGCAATATAGGACAAATTTTTAGCAAAAGACTTATACACGATGCATTACAAAACTTTAGAAAAAAAAACTCGATTTATTAAGCACAAATATTGATTTACATACTAAATTAATAACTTCATAAACATATCAATTGAGATGAGCCCAATGGCATAAAAAGTGATCTGATTTGATTCCATATAAGCCCAAGTCAAACACATGAAGTGCAATTAAAATTTTTATAATATTACGTGAATGTTAAAAAGCTTTGAGTGTTACATTTTCATAGTCAAAGAAGCATA